CACATTTTGTATGTTTTTCCACATATTGCCCAGAGTGCCTCTTCTTTAATGTTTGTCTAAGTCTCATTGAGATCTTCAGTCACTTAGTCCTGCTGCTCTTCGTGTTCCTTATTATCTCTTTCTTACTTCTTCCCTCCGGTCCTTCAGCCTCCACCATCTCTCTCTCTCTCCATCGTTTCCTCCCTCTCTTTCCCTCTCGCGCTCCTCCGCTCTGTCATCTGCTCTCCTCCTCTCCCTAACACACCCGGACACGACAGAACGCCGCGGATAGTTAATAATTCTCTAATTTCCGCTCTTCACGGCGCGTAGAAGGTGTCGCAGATAACCTGATTTATCAGACGGCTGTTAGAATGTGAATCAGGGGCATTAAAGCGATGGACATTAACGTGCGCGTTGTTTAAACAACGCCCTGGGACTAATGGATTTCAAAATGAATTTGTCAACAGCGCTCTCTGTGAATCTAATTAGTTAAATGAGAGGCGAGCAGTGGAGGCGAGCGGAGGACGAGGCCGCTTTGCAGGAACGAGAGGAAGTCGTCGATAGAGACGCTGCAGCTATAACTTTATTTGATGGAGAAGCGTAGCACTGTGTTGTGCGTCCATCAGCCCCTGAGGGCAAAACCCCACCTTTCTCCCCGAGGATTCTTCATATGATGGAAAATGAAGAATTTATTAGACGCGCAGAATAACGCTAAGTGTGTATCACTATTATTGTTGCAGGTGTTCTAATTTAGCAAGATTTCTCAGGATCTCACTGCTTGAACATAACACATAACTATATATAACACAGATGGTCCATAGATTACAAGTCAAGTTATAAACATAATTTTAGTCAGTGAAATTAAATAATGCTTAATCCACAGTTGAAAAATTGTCCCCACAAATGCACCATTTCCTTTTGCACTTTGCTTTGAGTAACAAGACATTTGAAGTCGTTCACTGACTGGCAGCAGAATGTTAAACTTGCAGCCGTCGCTTCAATCACGAATTTCACCGGTAATAACGCTGTCGCGACGCCTGAAAGTACACTGAAGCCCACGCGCAGCAGAAAAACCAAGGCCCCCCCCGCTCTAAAGTGGAGATCGCCATTGAAGGAAGCGTTTCAATGAACCCAAGTCCCCATGCGCACGCACTCCTCCTGCCACCTCCAGCTTCATGTCTGGTTCCCCAGCAGGAGGAGAGGTGGCCGCTGGGCAGACAGGGCAGTGGGGTGTGGTGAGGGGGCGGTGGAGGCGTACAGCTTGAATACTAATGTCCCACTTTAGGAGTCGACCTCTCCCACATCCCCACCCTGTGCTCTGTCCCCGTCTCTCCCTGCATCTCATCCTGCCTTCAGTCCTCTCTCACCACAGCTCTCATTTATATATTTTTCTCACCTCCTCCACCCAGTGGGAACTCCAACTTGTCTCCTATGTCTCCTCTCTCCCGTCTTCTACCCCTTGCCACGCTCCACCCTCGTTCCGTGCAGGCTCTCCATCACCCACGCTCCTTCTACATCCTTGTATCAAACTCTGTCTTTGCCCCGAGATCTCTCTCTCTCTCTCTCTCTCACTCTTTTTCTTCCTTTGCCATTTTCTTCTTAAGCCCACACAAACACAGGTACACACGCCTCCTTGACAAAGCCAGCTAATTACAGGCAAGGGTTATCTCCAGCCCTTCTTAAATACCCAGCTGATTAATGAGACGGAGGTGTAGGGCCAGGAAGTCTCACCTTCGGTGGTTGGTGATGCACACCCCCCTGTCTCTGTGCGCGCACACACACACACACACACAGACCCCTAACCACCTTTTCTCTCCTTTTCCACACTTACTAACGCAAATTTTAATTCATGTGCCGGTTCATTGCAGAACTACTGGTGTCATTTTTATGGCTCACTTCCTCCCTGCTTCTTACTCCAATCAGTAACACGGGCTACTGATTATTACCATCCGTTGTATCTTCGTACAGTAACTGCTGTATGAGGAGAGGGATGGGCGGGGAGCCAGCCGGGGGCCCCAGGTGTGCCGGGTGCCTCCTCCCGAAAGTGAGGTCTCATTGTCTCAGCGGCGGCTCAGGCACGAATCACCGTCGGCTCAAAATGGCCTCCGACAAAATCTCCATGGCTGATTTGCGTGTGTGTGTGACCCCGAGGACCGGCGTGAATGCTGCAGGAGCGAGGAGATAGAGAGCAGCTTCTGCCGCTGAATGCTGACACACATGCAGAGCAGCCGACGGGCGCGAGCACAAACACACACACACACACACACACACACACACACACACACACACACACACACACACACACACACACGCACAATCTCAATCTAGACTGGGTCAGCCAGGTTCAAAGCATTTGTATTCATGGGAGGTTTTGCATTGGCTCCACCACCTACAGTGTTTCATCTAACTGTGGGACGTGGCTTTCTACTTTCACACTCAGAAGACCTTGGGCTGTATTCTAGTGTGTTTATGGCTGTATTTATGGCAGCATGGTGCTACCTGCCTTTTGCCACTTGAACCATACTTTTTAAATAGTTGAAGGTGCAATTGTTTTTTATCCTTAAATAGACCCTTGTGACATACCACCTGCAAGCACGCACGCGCCCGAACAAGCAAGTCGAACACGATCCAAACACGCATCTCTGCTGCAGAGAAGCATGCGCAGGCATACTGGTGCCAGGCCATTGAGCTCTGCCAGTGGTTGGCAGAGATGCAGTATAACAATTACAGAGCCGTAACTAATAGGAGAAATAATTGAGCAAATTGTAAACTTTTCTCATTTGTCTGACAACCTTTCGAAGATTTGCAGAATTGTTGCACTGAAACCGCTTCTCCGTAAGGTCCTAAAGGACCAAAGGAACACTGCTTCAGGATAAATTAATATTCTGTTCATTTGACATATTGCTGAACACAATGTATGGTTGAAAAACAAGGCCAGGCTCTTTAGTAATATCTCATTATGGGGGAGCCGGAAGAAACATATCGTACAAACGATTAGTGTCATTCCAAAGTTGCCTTGGTTAACATTAGGTAAAGAAAATCCATTCAAAAATACTGCTATATATTCTGCAAAGCTCTTATTGGTCTACGACCAATTTCTCAGTATGCAGACGCAGATTGTCCTGACAATCCTGAAAATGAGACACAAGAAATCTAGATTTTGTTGCCCTGCCAGAGGTATTTTAATTATCAGTTGTGGGCTTGTAACCCACCTATTCTCAGCTGCTAAGGTTTTTCAGTTCACTTTTTATTCATGGTCTTATTTGAATGTTTTTTTTAATCCCTACACGATCCTCGGTTTGAAATCCGGCGCATAAAACCCAGTCCGACAGTGACACGCTCTCACTTACCTCTCTATTCTCCTCTCCTCCATCCTTCTCTCATGCACTTACTTCTTACCTCCAGATCAGATAGACATTAATACCCAGAGACGTATCTGTCGCACTTTCCAACAAGATGAGGTCGTCTGTATGCCACGTCATTACACACACATCACGCACACTAAGGCGTCTTACTAATAATCAAGTTAAAACAAAGCTGAGGACTTAATAAAGCAGGTTTTTTTTCCTCCCGCCGGCAACCAATTATTTTCACGTAACATCAGAGATCCACTGTTTGAAGAGCTGAATTTGTTTTATACAATGTTCCACATTCAGGTTTGCATCACTTCACTTTCAAGGGGACACATTAGGAAAGTTCCACTTTGATAGGTCTTCTACACTGTCTGGGATGTCAATCAATCAATCAATTTATGATTCCTGTAATGAATTTTCTACTAATAAATGCAACCTCTTTAGAGGTTCTGGGGTTTGCTGATGTCATCTGACCAAGCGGGAGTCCCTTGCGAGGCCTTGGCCCGTAAGGGTCTCCTATAAGAACTGGGAAAACAGAGCAGCTTGAGGGAGGATCTGAAATCTTATCACTCTGTAATGAATGACTTGAATTCTATATGCTGACATCATGTTGTGCGTAGTGCGCACTCTTTAAATCAAAGTATGCAAAAACCTGCGTGATCACTTGGCCTCGTCTTCTGTATCCAAATAAAACGTGGCTCAGCGTGGAGGAAAGTTCGCCAGAGAGCTTCGTCTTGGGCCCTTGAGAACAAGAAAATATATAGTATCAACTGTTGATCCACTTGTCTTCATTCAAACCACAGTTGCTACAAACATGATGACAACAAATAGATCCTAATTCCAAACATGTAGAAAGAATGCAACTCTAAGGAGGAAGCGTGATCCACAGTGGAGTAGAGACTCCACATCAGTCACATGGCACAGCGTGGCACGGTGAGACTCCCCCCTCCTCCCCCCCCCAGAGCTCCATCCGCCACAGCTCCACACAATCAGGGCTCCACGGTAAAGCCCACTGCTGGTTGCCATGACAACCCAGAGGCACTGCCTGCATGGGACAAAGACTGGCAGGTCCTGTGTGTGTTTGTGTGTGTGTGTGTGTTGGGGGGGGGGGGCGTGTGTGCGGTTGTGCGTGCGTGATTGAGAGAGAGAGAGAGAGAGAGAGAGAGAGTGAGTGATGTCTGGCAGAGCCGGCGCGGCCCTCCTGGGGCCCTCATTCGCTGGGCTCTTGCTGAGACCACAGGAGCCCTGATGCAGCAGAGGATGGAGGAGGAGGAGGAGGAGGAGGTGGTGGTGGGGATTGTGAGGAGAGGAGGACAGTAATGTCATCATTATTATATTATATTTCACTATCATTAAAAAAAGATAGTGAAAGTTGTACATGGTGAGTGATGGACATCTTTTTAGTTTAAAAGAAAGGAGTGCATCACTGATGGGAAGTACCTCACACAGCAAATCCAGGATCTTTGTTTTGAAAGGAAGACATCACCAATACATCTTCCCAAAATGATTAAACCATTTAGTGAGCAACTCCAAATTCAAATTTTTAAAAACCTGCCGTAAGACATTTTTAAGCTTCGTAGACTTTTATCACAGGGCTCCTCCCAGTAACAACTACCTAGATCGCAGTTGTCTAATTTAGAACATTGCTTTTTGTTTCTGTCTTTTCAGGTATTGATCACACAAACAAGGACCTGAAGAAGAACTTTGTGAGTAAACTTGAAAATCAACGTCTCTCCACCAAATGTTTCTGGTGATGTCAAGTACAGCAGATCTCCTTCTGATTCTGTATTCTTGTTATGAGCTTACAATCTTCCACTGCTGCTGCTTGGTTACGCAAACATGCTTGGATTTTAATTAGACTGAAATCTGTGTATTGACTTTCTCACTGCCCGACTTCTCTATGACCTAAAAGCCAGCACAGTAAAACGTTCATAAAGCAATAAAGCAGTTTGACTTTGTTAGGCGGGTGTTACTCTGACTCCCCATACAGCATATGGCCAGTGGCTGTGTTGTTTGCTCCCGCCTTGTCATTTATAATCCTATAGGCAGTTTGAAGCACACAGGCCAACTTGTACTTTGTCAGAGCAGATTGTCTGGCATGGATAAGCTTGGCTGGAGAGCGATGCATAATTGCTCTTGTACAGCGCTGCCAAGACATCCTCCTCCCGAATGCCTATATACACTGGCAAAGGAGTCATTCCGACGCGCTCACGCCTTATGGGGCACGCGTAAACCAGCCAGACGCCGTCACGGGCGTCTCCTCAGTGACAGGGGATTGACGGACGACTAATTCAAGTGTCAGTATCGAGACGTTTTCATGAGACTCCTTCCCTTCCTCTCATGCCGCTGTGACGTTTCGTCCCGAGTGTTGCACTGTGTTCCCTCTGTTTTCTGCGCGGATTGCAGGAGGCCCTCGCCAGTTTTGACGTGCGCGCGTCACACGGTCTGTCACATGATCCCATGCCACTCCGAGACGAGGAGAATAGGTAATGACCGTCTCCCTACGTGTCTTTTCTTGAGAGTGAATGAAAGGTAAAAAGTGTAAACTGAGCACTAATATGCCTTCAAAAGAAATGTGCAGAATGGACTGTATGTAATTATCGGTCCAGGCTTAATTTGGAGTAGGTCATCGACAAAAAGCCCTCACATCAGTGCGTGGCCAGCATCTAATCCCCCCTGCCTTTCAGTCATGGTACCCGGTGTGCGGGGGAAGTTGCCATGGAGGCCAACAACTCCTACTGCGGTGTGGGCATCGCCTTCAACGCCAGAATCGGAGGTGAGGAAAAAATACGGCTTCATCAAGACAGTGGGAGGCGGTGCATTGTGGGAGCACTGCAGTGGCCAAGAATATGTCATGGCATTTTTAACGCTTGTGGCGGGTCAGTCATTTCTTATAAGTAGTTTCTATCTAAAGTGCAAAAATGAAAGGAAAAAATGATCTTATTTCCATTTAGGATAAACTAAGAAAATACCATAAAGCAACTCAATCTGGACATCTGAAGCTTAACATTCTCTTCAACATTCACAGGCAATGTTTTTTTTTAATGATTTCACCCGTAATGATGCTAAAGGTAGATTGCCTTATTACCTAATTCTGCACTTATCCTCTTGTAAATAAAGGATTACAGGATGCCTTAAACCCAGCCATGTCAAACAACTCCAATACCTTCAAATAACTCTGAACTAAGAATGCACACTTTTTGGCCAATATTCTGCAATGACTATTTTACATTTGGCAGAAAATTACTCAATCCTGCGTGTGTGCTGGATCACAGTATGAGACTATGCTGTCTATTGCATGTGCTTTGAGCTCGTGTGGCGGCGACAGGCCGCGCGGTGACCGGTCGCTATTGAGGCACGCTGACCCCGTTTAACTGCTCATTTTTTAGTGTGAGCCCGAGTAATGGCTTTTCTCGTGTCGGATGTAACATTGGCGAGGGATGAATGAATACACAAGCTGGCCCATTTTCTGGTGTGAAATCAAAGATTTTTTTTGGATGCTATACTTTACCTCATAGAGTTAATGAGGAGGACGCGATACGCTTCAGTAAGGACATTTGTTTAACTTGGTGAAGACTTTAAAAGGCTAAAATCACTGTTTATGAATCGATAATATATCATATGGCTTCTAGTATGAGTCCACTGAGAATCATCACATGAGTCTTTATGTTTTCCGTCAGCCCTTTGTTTTGACTTGTCTTCACTGTTCTGGTTCGCTCTTACCACTAAGTGAAATGATTTCCAGTCGCAGCTTTGTGCCCATCGTCCTCCAGCCAGCCGACAGACAAAGCTCGCTGGAGGAGAGGGAGAGATTCTCCTCCAGAGGTTCAAAGAAGAATGTCATTTTTCTCCATTTACACAACTTGGTATCCAGGGCAACAAAAAGCTTTTCTTGTACTCGCACAGGGTATTGTGTGGCAGGCCTCCACAGATGGCATTTACGCTCAATGCGTCGTTAGTTGCAGTTGTTTCTGAAATGTAAAAGGGCATACAAACAAAATAGTCATATCACATTTTTCCTGATAGAGCCCATGAGCCCATTTTATTTATTCTATTGGTTTTACATTATTTATTGAACATATCTCACATTGCAATGATATTTTTTTAAGTTCAGTGATCTTTGACAGGAGGAATTGCAATATATATTATTCTAATTTCAGTGGCATTAGATTGTCTTAAAACAAGGTTATTGTTCATAATTATTCTGGTGATAATATGGGATCAAACAAAAAAGTAGTTATGACAGGCGTACATTTATCAGAAACATAAAAAAGTATAAATACAAAATATACATACAAAATATATAGAAATTAACAATAACGCCTCTCATGGCGCTTTTGTAGAGCGTATTTACATTTATATGTCATTTATTTCACCAGAAAGGTGTCGTGATTTTTTGTTGTTTACATCCTTCTAGAAGCACAAGCTCCTATTTTTATATTATTTTTGTATTACACTTTGTTGTTAAAATCATTTGGACGCTGGTTATTGGGACGCTACTTTTGCTTCAATAGCACATGAAGTTGCTGCGTCGCCCTGTTACCTCCCTGGAGGTGAATAGAAGACGACGCTTCTTCAAAGATGACCTACTTTTACAATTTAAAAACACCACTTTTGTGTCTGTGTCAGAAAGCAAGATGGCGTCGGCCTTTGATCCGCGTGTGACCTTTCCGATCCGTCCAGGTATCCGCCTGTTGGACGGCCCCGTCACCGATGCCATGGAGGCCACGTCCCTGACCTACAACATGGCCTTCATCGACATCTACGTCTGCAGCTGGGGCCCCCAAGACGACGGGGCCACGGTGGACGGGCCGCTCAGCTTGACGGCGCGGGCCCTTCGGCTGGGAACCCACGAGGCACGGCTCTCGGCGCCGGGTTTCACGCGGCCGTCTGTCAGACGACAGGCAGGCCGCGTGAACCCGTCTTGAGCGTGGAATATTTCCATATGTGATATTCAAAATGTTCTGCTGACCGCTAGAAACCTTCTCCGTGGAAATCCACCATTTCCATCTTTTCCTGTCACGTCCCTCCGCCTGCGTGTTCAGGGCCGGCGTGGGAAGGGCAGCATCTTCGTGTGGGCGGCGGGTAACGGCGGACCGCACCGCGACCACTGCGGCGCAGACGGCTACGTCAACTCCATCTACAACATCGCCGTCGGCGGCGTCTCTGAAACGGGGAAGCCCGCCTTCTTCGGCGAGCCCTGCCCCGGCGTGATGGCCGTCACTCTGACGGGGTCCGCGGTGGGGGGGCCGCTCCCTCTGGTCGGTGTGCACAGACTGCCTAGCACATCTAACGACAGTGTTCAGCGTTAGTGCGTGTAGATTGTGTGTTTGTGTCCGTGCCAGCGGCGCCCTGCTCTTTGGCTCCGGCGAGCTGCGAGGAGCGTGTTAAAGAGCAGCGACTGGTGGGATATTTATAGAGGCCTGCCAAATAACCCGGTGACTGCTGGGCGCACACACACACACACACACACACACACACACAGAAGCAAACGAGTGTTAATTGGAGGTAAACCATGGCTGTAGTGGAGAGGAAGAGGCGGTATTGATGGTAGAGGGAGCTGTGAAAGGCCGGGATGGAATATAGGGAAACAGACAAGTGGATCAGGGTGGTGACCTTTGCGCCGGCTCCTTCCCACCTCTCATTAGCCGGTGTTCTGACCTGAAGCACGTTTTTTCCTTCTTTTCTTTTATTGTTGTCTTTTGTAAACCTGTTGGTATTGCTTCGTGCAGTGTGGCCCCAAAGAAATCCATTTTGGGGAGGAGAGGAGGAGGAGGGGGGCGGGTAGTTGGACAGAACAGCTCACGTGTTTTCACTCTGCGTGCCGGTACGACACCCACAGCGGCGGCTTGTGACACGTTCAGTCTGTTGTCCCCGCAGGTCACCGTGACCAACATGGACGACGGCTGTGTCACGTACTTTCCAGGAACATCCAGTGCTGCCCCCATCGCTGCAGGGATCCTGGCGCTGGCGTTGGAAGTGAAGTGAGTGCCTCTCTCTGCCCCGTACTCCAACACCGTATTGATTTTTTTTTTTTTGTAGGGACCCAGAGAGTTTCTCAAGGACACTCCAGCAATGTGAATGCTCGCCGCGTGAGACGCTCCTGTCCACAGCGCTGCCGCTTGCACCCGCGTCGCTGCTTAAGACGCCGTCTCTCCTCTCTGCTCTGGAGGAGAATGAATGTTGGAAGTAATTTTCCCTCCAGCAATCGTCTGCCTTTTAATATGCTGCGCTGTGTTTGCTCTGGAAGCACAGGAACCTCCTCTGTCGCCTGTGAATCCATTCAGCCGATTGATTATTTACTTTTCACTTACCGGTTGGATTTGTGATAATCAATGAATTGTTTTTTGTATTAAATGAATACGGTTTGTTCGAGAGCGATTCCTACAGTACATCGCTTCAACAGTTATTCAACGATCGCATTGTTGACATTTTATTTTCACCACCACATACCAGTTTAGCACGTTTAGACGTTGAAATGAATCAAAACCCTCAATTTTTACCATTGTATTGTTGCACGCATCTCCTCAGCGCTATTAAAGTCAAAGTGAAATGTAAGACGCTCCGTCTTCAGCTTCTATACTGCAGATCTGATGGGGAAATGTAATAGTCGAGGCGTGTACAGTTTGAAGAGGCATGAAATCATATCCTTCTTATTTAATTGGGCCTCTCAAATGTGGGTGGTCTTATATGGTGTTGACATGAAACACCAAGCAGTTTTTTTACGTCCTGCTACTCGCAGGAGTTTACTCGCGGACTCATTTGTGGTTATTTGCTTAATTTGCGTCATTCATGCTTGACGTGCCCGAGAGGAGGCGTGGCTTATCTCAATGAGACGGATATCAACAAAGCCATTTATTTCCTCTATCAACCATGAAGAAAATGAACCCCACTTCTACTTTGTGCATGCTGCAGGGGTCCCACTTATCCAGGGGGCTTAAGCAAGCCGACTTGGTTCATAACGTCACAAATTTTATTGTATTCACTGTACCAAGCAGGCCATAAAGGTGGTTTATTACAGCTGTTTGAACCCAAAATACATCAATTTGCCTTTCTTTAATTAGAATAACGGATGGACAGGATGCCGAAATAACTAAATACAAATTTGTCAAATGTAGGAATTCATGTTTAAATAACTCGATGCAGCTCAGATCAATCGGTGGTAGATTTTGCTACCATTGTAGCTGTTCCATCAATGATCTCTACGCGTAAATATGGCAGTGCTCTCTTTGTTTGAACCATGTGGTTTTTAGGAATATATTCCTACACATGATTTTAACCAATCTGAGGTATCGCGGAGCTCTGGCTGACCATTTACGGCTGCGATATATCTTTTTCCTGATTTAAAAACTGCATTGAAATCTGTGACGACATGAGAAGCATCTCAATGCTGATCAGTGTGACAAGCCAGTCTCCCAAAGCTGCGCAGCCATATAGCTGGTTCATGATATGATAATTAACCATCAGGTTTGATGTTTTATTTAATATTGTCTGTTTTTGTGTCGGTATGTACGGCCAAAAGTCCCCAAATCTCTACTTAGTGACTTCCTTTGGTGCATTTGTTTAAATCTATTCTCTTCTCCATCCTTGGATGCCTGTATTCGTTTGGTTGATAGAAAGGTCATCGAAGCACCCACTTGCTCGCAATGAGACCTTCTAAAGGACTACGGCGGTGGCAGGACAGTCAGTTTTCCTACACCTGCATATCCTGCATTCTCCTGCATGCAGCGATGTGCCGATACGTTCAGGGTGGTGGTGCGCGTCTAAAAAGACCCTCAGTCCCTCTTTTGTTGTAGATCATCTTTGGCTCTTTTCTTCCTGTTTTGGTCTAAATCTGCAAATTTGCAAACTGCAAATCACCGATCCCTTTTCTCCTCTCCTTTTGTTTCGTCTGCCACTTCCTACCGTTTCCCGAGCCCCCTTTCTCTTCCTGCTTCCCTCCCAACCCGCCAGCTGTCGGTGTGGCCCCCGGGCCTGGTGTTTTGTGGCGGTATCAGCGGCGTCTACGCCTCCTTCATGTTATGGATGGTACTAGAGGCCGGCTTTACTGCTCCAGCTGTCATGCCGCGGCGTCTCAGTCTCAGTCGCTTGGCTGTAAAATGGAGCGCGGGTCCCCCGGGCGAGGCGACTCCCAGGACATTACCGTTAAAGGCTTTGTCGTGACCCGCTGCTACTGACTAAACTATATATCACCTCGCTGGCTGCGATCGGCAGCATTCTGCTCACGTCTTTAAGGAGCCGGCCTCTCTCGCTCTCTCTCTCTCTCTCTGTGTGTGTCTTTCTGGGTCTCTCTCTCTCTCTCTCTCGCTGTGTGTTTCTCACACTTGCTCATTCTGTGTCTCACTCTGTTCTACATTTCACACGAACACACTCGTCTATATTCTGCCGTACCGTCTCTTCCCCTCATGCGAACCTGTTTTTTTTTTTTACCTCATTCATCACAACCTGCCTGAAATACAGTATATGCACCTGATGATTCCGCTCAAAGGGTACATTTAATACACATATTTTGAATTATTTTCATAATCATGTTATGACCCCAACACCCTTTTCTTAATTTTCAACATAGTATTCAATATTTTTTTTTACTTCCAATCTTTTTTTCTCTTTAAACTAAAAAACAAAAGTGAGCTGATCCCAAAACCAATCATATTTCTCCTTCCTGATATGAAACTATGGTATTCTGCTGGTAATATTTGCACACAGTGCAGATACATAAATGCCAGAGAGCCCCTGCATTAGCAAACAGCGTGTTGTCGTCTATGTTGTGCGGGGAGCCTTCAGTGTTGGTCCCTGACAGTGTGATGGTGTCACTGTCGATCTGTCTCTCTGCCACCAGCGACCCGTCTGACTGTGTTTCCGTCTGTCTCCATCCATCCGTCTCGACGCCTGTCCAACAAAGCATAAGGACAGATCAATTATTTGCTCCTCTCTCTTGCCTCTGACTGTGTGTTTGTTCACTTCATCACAGAGTCAGCCTCTCTGTCACTCTGTTTCTTTCATCCATTCATCCGTGCGGGTTCTCCCTTTGCTCCTTTGCGTTGGTTCCCCTTTTAGGATTATTACACCTTTAGATGTCCATTTTTCTGTCCACTCTTTATTTGTGCTGTCTGGAAAGATGAACTTGTATCTATTATCTATATCAATACTATCAGTCAATCACACAGTAGCAGTTGAAAATGTGGAAACAATCTTTGAAGCGGTTTTAACTTGTGAAAAGTGATCATGGGCTTTATATAAAGAATATTAATTTCAGCATGGGGCCTTAAATAATCTAAAAATAATCTGCGATCTGTGATCATTGACTCAATTCCCTTTTCCTGCTGGTCTCCATTGCAGGAACAAGAGAAGTAATGAACAGCGCGTTCTGTGTTCTCAGTAGGGAGAGCTCTTGGAAAAGTGAACCCACTTGCTCTAATTGTTCTAAACTCATACAGCCACGTGCCAGAGGTGAGCACACCAACACATACAGAGGCACACTTCTCCTGCACATTATAAATGGGTTAAAAAAAACATATAGACCTTGTTGGTAGCTAGTAACTAATCCTACACACCCAACTACGAGGATCTCTTTGTATGTCTGATCTAATTTACACTGTGTTGGTGTAACACGCACAGTTTAAGTTGGTGCAAATTGGACACGCGATAAATTCAGGATTCATTTATATTAAACAAGCAACATATTTTATGTCAACTGAAAAATATTTTTCTTTCTGTCTTCCCTGCCTTTTGTATGTATGTATAAGCCTGGAAAAAAATGGACTCTTAATTGTCAGTTCAGTGCTGAACCAGACATACACACGCACACAAACACCAACACACACATATACACACGCAGAAATACAGACATAGTGATCTAAACGGTCCATCACACACACACACACACACACACGCACGGGTGCTTGTGTACACATCTACTCATTAAGCAGAGGAATCAGGGATGCACCGGTGGAGTTTATTTAAAGGAGATTGCGGGCATGCAGCTATTGGACTTGGCCTAATTGATAAAGCCATTAGTAACACTTGTTCGGATAACATGGGAGGAATCTCAGTCTGCTCAGTCACTCCAAATGGGTTCACTTAGGCTGAGAGTGCAGCACATTAAGAGAAGATTACAGAGCAATGTGGAGCGTTTTACCAGTCCACGCCTCGCCGGCGTGAGATTAATAGAGACGAACTACAGACAGAGACGGAGAAAACATTAGACCCTGACTCTCCACCGGGTGGGGACACTCTGTGTGCTCCTTGCCGTTGGTCTTCTGCATTCCCGGGCATCTACTCAGGTTTTTGTGCAGTTATGACCCCGGGGGTCGGTCTGCCATCTTGTGCATGGATGTGCACATGAGTGTGCGAGTGCCGGCGGTGTGCGTTTGTCTCCACACGTCGGGAGTGTCTGTGTAGCTGTTTGTCCGCACGTGTGTTAGTTTCTCTGCCTTTCAACTAAAGCCGGTCCGTGGCTCGGCGGAAGATGTTAACTCAAAGTGTGGAAGGGGAAGGTGTGCTTCCTGGGACGAGACGGTGGGGTTTAAAGTCCTGCTTGTTTTGTACACATTATATCCAGCTGACTAACAAGCTTGACTGTTAGTGTGTCCTTCAAGACAACATGGGACATGCTGGGCTTTAGTCAAGAAAATGTCAGTGTGAGTTTGAACGCATCAATCTACGTGCCATTATGACACTACAACTCATAAGCACGCAGCATCACATACACAACTCGCCGAAAACATCTCATGAACACAGGTCATGTTGCACGCTTGCTGGTATTGAGAAATATAGAGTGTTTATCTTTCTTTCCTTCAGCTCGATTACATGACTGCTTCTCCAGTCAGTGACATTGTAGAGCAACCATCTCTAGGTCGAAGGAGGGGGCGGGGCCGCCGCCATTCCCTTACCTAAACAACGTAATCGTCCGAGGTCCCTTGAACTTAATGAAGTCGTTCTTTAAAACCCAAACTCGAACCACCAAACCTGAACTATACCGTTTGTTAGGGCTCAGACGGCTGCCGCTTCTCTGCCAGTTTTTTTTGTTCTGAGGACTTGTTGGATCCAACGGAGGAACCATTACAAATGTCATTGTCTTCTTCATCCGGCATGTTCTATTGCATGTTGAGTGCGGGGCTTCTGCTCCCTGCGGGATTCCATCTTGGATGGTTGTTGACCAGGACTTGGTTTTGAGTGTGAAGTCCCTAAATGATGTGTAGCTGACAGCCCCCTCCTCTGAGTGCCGATCTGTTTCTCTGTTTCTTTTCATCTGTCCGTCCCCTCGATTGGCCCGTCTTTTGCGTTCTGTCCCCTGGGCTGGACACTGTCCTTGTGCTCCCCGTCTCCTCCTCCTCCTCCTCCTCCTCTCTGCCTGGGCTTAGTGTGAGTGATAAATTATTCGTGAGCATGCTCCGAGGGCCCAGGGCTGCTCATTCCTGCACACAGAGGACTAGCATTGATCCGGCCTGTGGTTCAACTTAATTGGAAAGCCGGTTACACCAGCCACAGACACACAAACACGGCACGCACATGCACAGATGCACGTCAAGACATGGCATCTACTGTAAAGCCGCATTAATACACACATATGCACCATAGTGCAGTAATACACCCGTGTATAGGTGCTTGGATATTACAAATGTCAACGAAATGAAACAACAGACACACGCAATCCCCACATGCATGTTACAGCATTAACACCTGCCTATGCATGACGAACTGTATGTATCCACAATCTTTACTTTAAACACACACTATAACATTGAAAGCCACAGAAGGGCACCAGCTACCCATAAGGACACGTGCGTAGACACAAACATCTGCGCACACACACACACACACACACTTTATAGTCACTAAGCTTGCATTCTAAGCAGCAGTAAAGAGGCGTAACAGTCCACAGTGGAGCAATATGGAGGCCCAGGGTTATCGATTGGACTGAGACACTGACTATCATACAGCTAATAGATTACATCAGACACATCGGAGCGGCCCAGTCAATGAGGCCTGATCCTATTAACTGGGGGTTTGTAAACAGTTGTGTGCTCGCTGTGACGGCTGCTGTGCCGCTCGGTGAGGCTTGGCGAGGCTCCGGAGGAGGCTCACACATCGTTGCTCTTCCCCAATCTGCTGTGAGCGCAGCCGCGTAGATCGGCTCCATGGACGACGTGCTATGATAGCGTAGCCACGTTAGCTCTGTTTCTCCGATCCTTCAAAGTTAAGTTGCGCCATTCGCCGACAAGCATTTGTTGTTTTTGGTTTTTCCTGATTTCATATTACTTTGGATTGTACTTATTGAGAGTCGCATGAAGAAAGAAACCAGTGCAGTGTTTTATTTGAGATACGTTTTAGCTTTAAAGTTTGGCTCAGGCCAGAGTTTAGTAGCATACTTCCTGTTGAGGTCGCCTTCGGTTCATCTACATAAACGTAGAGCTGCTCTCCAAACAGAATCCGAAGAGCATTCTCTTGTGTGGAGGGCGAAAGAAAGCATTGATGAAGCTTTTTCTTAGCCGTATAATGCATTCATATGCAGATATCTGCTCACAGAGATGAGACACCTGCCGGACAATGACGGGTACCCAGACGAGGAAGTCTTAATGTGGATATACATTATCTTTTATCCCCAGGCTACAGACTCCAGAGGCCATGCTGTCCACGGGTTTGACTTATGAAGCCACCACGTTGACCAATAGCAAATCACCTTGACATTTACTGAGCTGTGCAACCACACTAATGCATTTTCAAAGTGGTAAAAGACACACAGCCTGTAACACTAATGAAGGCTCTGCTGTAATCACATCTTCAAATAAGCCATGGCATGAACATTAGCACAGCCGTGACCCGGATGTACCTGGCTGGCACTAGCATGTTTCTGATTAGCCGTCAGCTGAAGCTCTTTGACCGCTATGGCTCTGGTACTTTTGAATGTTCTCAAAAATAATGGAAATGATTAATGTATTAATTACAGTAACTACCAACAGCAACTAACCGTTGTCTTAAAGGGCTCCTTGCTTCAGCTCACAGTCTTCTACTTGTGCTGCCTCAGTAGTGGTTTGGTGTTCTCTTGCAGCCAAACCGAAACCAACAGAAGGAGACAAAAGCATGTTCCCGCATTGATTCAAAGGGGTATATTATATTTATATTTCACCGTACATGTGAAAGAAACCTCACAAGATAAGTAAGTTTATCTGAAGTCCATTACAGCATAAGTAACACTTAAGCCGTTTTGTGGTGGATGCCGGTCGGGGGTTTTCTGATTCATTTTGTGGTCTAAACCTATTTACACGTCCATTCAGGGGCTGTGAGGACATTAAGGGAGAAGCTGAGTTTTGAGCCAATGCTGTGTTTTTAGGAGCAAAACGACTTTTCCAAAATAAATAGATCTGTGTCGCGGACTGCGAGAGAAAAGCCCTCGGTTCAATAATTAATTCCCGAGTCGAGGGTTTTGGAGAGCCGCTGATTGGGCTGATTCTTTTTTTTTTCCCTTTTTTTTATTCTGTTATGATACAAAGGAGGCCGTTTGAAGTAATTTGTCCCTGAGAGAGCTGCTTGGAATACCATACATGCTTTGATTTAGCAAAGCAAATTTAATTTTGTTTGCTTTATGCAAACCAGCCGGGGCCACGGGGGTTTCTCTGATTCCACCAGAGGGGTGAGGGTGGTGAGGGTGGTGGTGGTGGTGCTGATGATGGAGGTGGGGGAGTGCACATAACAGAATCACGCTGCTGCCGCCGCTGCTGCTGATGTATAATACACAACACACACTCACACACACACACACACACACACACACAGACGCATGCAGCGAGCATCAACAGTTCAAAAGTACAAAGCCTATTCCTCCCCTACACACACACACACACACACACACACACACACACACACACACTCCAATCCCTTTGAAATCAAAGCTCAAAATAATTGTTTGTGTACTGTGTTTTGTTTTATTCCATCCATCTATTATTAGTGTTACTGGTATTATTCCTATCGTGTTGTTTTAGTTGCCTGCTCTCGCTGCTTTGCTTGGGTTTTGTTTCATGCCACTAATGAAAGCTTCTCCCCTCGCTTTTGTTCTGTTTCGCTTTTTTTCCCCCCAATACGTGAACGGAATACATGTTACCATCAATGCCTGATATATCCAGAGATGTCTGCCATGCAACAGCACAATAATGAAGAGGCTACTCGTTATAGAGTTGCTTGTTTGAAGGAATACCTTAACGCGTCCGTATCGACAGGCGCGGCGCGGCGCCGCTGTATTATTAATGACGGGGACAATGAAGTCACACTGAGTGGCCTCCCCTTCAATTAATTACCTCCGTGCAGGTTCTTCTGTACCGGACAGACGACTTTCCGTGTACAGATGTTGGGAAAACTGTGAAGGCATTTCTTCTCAGAAAAAGAAAAGGGCTTTCAGAACGGGTGGCCAAGCGGTTTTCTTATACTCCATTCAACTCATTTTCTTAGGGAACAATAATGAGTGGATAAAGCAAAAAAAAAAACAAATTTCCTTTATGCTTTTTATATCCCGAAGAAGCCCTCGTTGATGGCCCTTTGGTCTTTTGTTATAGAAAACTGAGCTAATATCCTCGAGCTCTGGGCGCAGTTTAAAGGTCTTAATTGGATTCCATTAGTATATTGCTTGACATGACACTTGAGTCCGCTCTATTAGAAATCCCCTGCCTGGGAATAAAAAGAAGACTTTTTTTTCTGCATTCAACTCTCTCGGCTCTTTTGTAAAAGTCTCAAATCGTCTTTGTTGGATTCACAGTTTTTAGTGACACCGTTATTAAAAAAGTGAGCTTGACTTAAACAGGTGCTTTTGTGTTCAGAGGACCTGATGTAAAAAAAAAAAGAGAAGTAGACGGCATGGCCGTGTCAGTTTATGTATCAATAAACCTGCATGAGCCTGAAATGATGTGCTTTAAGTCGCGTGAAACAGTCCTCCGAGCCCTTTCTAAACACGGCTGGTTCAGTCGGTGTGGAACACCCGCCGAGGGAAGGCTGTGTCTGATCATGTGACCTGTCTCATGTCTCCTCCTCTAGTCCTGCGCTGACGTGGAGGGACGTGCAGCATCTGATCGCCAACACGGCGAAGATCCCCGACCCCAAAGAGCCTGGCTGGAACATCAACGCGGCAGGACACCATGTCCACCACAGGTACGGTGATGCGTGCACGCCAACATTCAAAGAACACACACATGGTATCATCGCTGGAGTTACATTTAAGCCCTGCGTTCCGCCCGCTCTTTAAGTGGCTTATATTTAAGCTGATCTGTGTATTAAACAATCAATTTACAGTAGTTCAGTCCTATTAAAAGCGATGTGAGTTAGCATGCTTGGCTGAAGCCTCTGATTACGTGATGCTATGGCTATTTAAGCAGCACGTGCACATTTTTTTGGGTTGTCTCCTTAAAGCAGCTGTTCAATGTTTTGGTAAGTTACACGGGAATGAGAATATTGCTATCACTCATGTCTGTACAGTAAATAGAAGGCTGTAGCCAGCAGCTGCTTAACTTTGCATGAGGACGCCGTGGGGAAACAGCTGGTCCGGCTTCAGTCGGAAGTTAACAGAAATCAACCCGGCAGCATCAGTAAAACTTGTTATATCTCCTACGTTTAATTCATACAAAAACCGGTGTAAACATGACACGTTCTGGTTTTACAGGATGTGCCAGAATCATTTTGGGGGCGCAGCAGTTGTTTCCTGAGCGCTGTGTGGTTGCCAGGTAACCAGGAAAGACTTTGAGGCCCTTCTAATCGCTGCCAAAAAAACGTCCCTTTATAATCATATTTAGTTTTTATCTAGCGGGCCTTTAATCAGTTGGTAGATTACACCAATTGACCTGACACACACGTTTGCCCAGCTTGTGTTTCTGATAACTTATGACCCTAAATAATTCTTCACCCGGTTGAAATATATATATAAAAGGGTACCACAAGGAATCTGCTGCTGACAGCACCGTGCATTCCCTCACAGCGCTGACACGTGCACAACGGGAATGTTTCTATCCATTGGAACAAAGGTTTGGGTTAATGTTTGCACACAGTTCAATTAAATCCTACAACACTGTAGTTTTTTTTTTACATTTTCAACATGGAAAAGTTGCATATTTGAGGCACTGTAACACAACATCTTTTAAGCTTGTTAAAGATAATAGTTTATGTATCAAACCCTGGTGTTACCCACTAAAATTCATTCTTCTCTGCTTCTTCTTCATTGCTGTATTTGCCACGTGCACACACACACACATCCACACACTCCTCGTATAAAGCGTTCCAGCCACAAAAGGCAGCTGTCTTCTGACAGTTGAGGCAGGTGATCTTGTTCGGGGAGGAGTGTCATTGTAATCCTCTAATGTTATTATCACACCCACAGTGCGTCTGCGTTTCCGTGACTGATTTATAGAGACGGAGGCTGCAGGAAACGGAGCTTCTCCCCGTCTGACTGTGTGAAGAGTGAATCTGGGAGGGAGGGAGCCCTGTGCTCCTCCAGACATCATATAAACCCTTTCACAGTGCTTTTACTATGTCGGCCGGGCGGTGGCACGTCGGTAATCAGTCGTAGCGTTTGTAAGGTCTTTCCTCTGCTCTCTGTCACGCTCACCTTAACATTTCCGCTCCTCGTCCTGCCTCTGACTCTCCGTCCTCTCTTTGTAGTTTCTATGCCCGTCCTTCCTTTTCCCGTCTTTACCCTCTTTTCTGCCTGTTCCTCTCCTTCATCCCCTCAGCACGGCGCGTCATAAAGTAGATTGTAATTACTGTGTTGCTGTGAGAAGAATGGATTAATTCAAATATAATGATGCCGATCACACCAGCGGGCGTCTGTTGAAATCTGTCCGTTTAGGGGCTGCGGCCGAGGACTAATGCCCAGATCATACTGCAGCGGCCACGCTAATTATGAAGAATGGTTTATTGCATGGGGAAGGACGGATGGAATAGACAGTCCAATGAGCGCGGGGTCACTTACCAGCAATGAGGTTGTTAGAAAATGTTAGATTAGATGTGAAATCTGTAACGAGAGGAAGCGTGTTTAGGAAAACTGAAGATAACGCTTAATGCTTAATGGCTATAATGGGAAGTTAGTGATTTTTAACATTGGGTTCCGAAGGTGTGGACTGGATAAGTGTCATATGTCCTTTGCTACAGATTTTTGTACACTCAACTCGAATTCCTTCAGGACAAAACTGGACAACTGTGCAGGTTAAACACGTAAAACAGCACAAAAAAGTTTATTATAGCAAAAGCCCGCTGAGTGAAAGCAAAAGCTGCTTCATAAAGGACAAAGTTACAAGATGTTTCTGTGGGATCCTAATGAAAGACTACTAAAGACCATACAGCCAACATGGCCAATATATCAGAAGTGTGCCATCAGATCACCAACACTTTCAGTGTAAATGTTCCACCTGTTACGTGGATGTGCTGAAGTAAACGTGGTCCTTTTGACAAATTAATAAGAGGAATTCAAATTGTTAACAAAGGAAATTATACAGTCGCTCACAATGAATTCAAGTTTATCCTCCGCACCAAAACTAATAGGGTCTTACTGCCCTTGTTGATTCATCTAAAATGCACCTCATTCAAACAGTGAACAGAAACCAAATGAAACCAAACACGTTGCGGTTAGTCGTTCCGCTGTGGTCGGAATAAATCTTTACCATCTATGTGGTTTGGTAAGACTACCAAAGTAAGGGCCTCGAGTGAGCAGCAACTGTTTATACCTTATTAATGAATACCTACATTTGTAGAAGGATGAATGTGTAAGTTAAGCGTGGCGATATTGAGTATCACCTCTTTAAAAGTGCCACAGGGAGCATGTGTGGATTGAGGACAGATGGTTGCATTGAAAGAAGCACTCGCAGGGCTTTGTGAAAGCTGAAGGAAAAATAGCGGCCTTACAGATCTCTGCTGAGTTGCCATTGATGTGTGTGTGTGTGTGTGTGTGTGTGTGTGTGTGCGCGTGTGTGTTTGGGGATTTAGGGGGGTTGTCGGGTGGGATGGAAAGGGTTGCCTGCATCCCAGAGTTCCCATCTGTTTGACCTCCATATAGACTGGGAGCTTTAGAAACTGATGTTGGGGAGCGACAGCCACCCCCCCCCCCTCCCCCCTCCCCTACCAGCACCCCTTCACCCTCCGCCATGACGACAATAAACATGTCAGCCGCCACACGCCAGAGCAATCTGCAATCAGATTTACTGTGCATGAAATACGGTGGTGCTTTTATTGGTCCAACAGCTTGTCACTCATAATTTATAGGCTGTTGTCAGGCCTGCTGTGATGTCAGCGAGCTCCCAGCACCCTCGGGAGAATCGGGAGGGAGAGAGTGAAAGAGATAGGGGTGAGGGGTGGTGGTTGGGTGGGGGTTTAAAGATATAGGAGGACAGAATGGGTGTGTGAGAGAGTAGAGAAAGGGAATGCGGGGGGGACAACAAGCATCCATCCTGTTCCTTTTCTGTGGCCAGTTTATCAGGTTGAGGGAGCGAAAGTGTCAGTTTTCCACAAATGGATGTTCCCCCTCCTCTGCTCTCCTCCAGCGATGCTTCGCATCCTTTGAACGCCGACACCTACTGATCACATGGTTGACGGGGGGGGAAGAAAAATAATAATCTGCGATTCACATCTCTATTCGAAGCCTCTCTGACCCAGAAATAGAAACTGAGCCCGGTGTTGGCGGCTTGTGCCGCGGGGATAACGTGCAGAGGAGAAGCAGAATGTCCAAACAGGCTTAATTTCACTTAATCTCTTCTGATAGCAAAGGTGCTACTACAGTAATTATCCAGTGGGAGATGGAGATGGAGAATAACAGCGGTGGAGTAGATCAAAGAATTGCTGCCCCTTTCTGCAAAGACAAAGTGAATATCAAGGAGAATTCGAGAGTGGAAGAAACAGTATCTTAACCCCACCCCCCCCAAAAGAAAACTTGTATGGCATTAAAGAATGAGATAGCATTCAATCCCTCGTTTGAAAAATGATTCTCTGTTCACAGAGAACTATTAGAATGTTTACATTTACGGCATTTTGTTCCATATCAAAATAATTAATTGCCTCCATTTTCAAATTAAAAGTACATTACAACACAATTAAGGATGCAAATGAGCCCGGGCCTGTCAGAAGCCAGAGAAAGATGGACTGCGTTGATATATGACAGTTTGTTGTGTGTTGGTTGTGTCGCGATGGATCATTGTGCTTGAGTGTATTTGTGTGTTGTGTTTTTTTTTTTCCTGCCTTTATTGAGGAGGAATACTCAGTTGTTGAAATTACATCAGCATAAACATATAAATCAGCTGTGCAGAGTAATTAGGTCACTCTTCCCTCGATAAGCGATCGACCAACCTGTGTTATTCCCACTGTGAGGCTGGTGTCCCCGGTGAAAGACAAAAACAACTTAAACATGACGCACACACCCACACACACACACACACACACACACACATCGCTCTGCCTCCCTTTCAGCGGCTCTGACCTCCAACCAGCCTGCTCCGGGAAAGATGTCTACATCGCGACACTAAAACATTATTTTGTCATAACCTTCCCTCTTTGGAGGGAAAACAGATATAAAAGTATATAGTCGATGGTTTATGGCGAGTCCGCCTGGCAGCAGCACGCAGCGCTGATGGATGCTGCGCGTCCGCCGACTTTTAATTGCTCGTAAATTTCTGATCCGGGGAAAACGCCACGTTCTCCTTGTTCCCCTGCGACACGGGTGACGGAGCCGCTCAGGAGGGAATAAAAGAGCTTCGGTGAGGAGCACAGAGAAGATGGCAGCTAGAGAAAGGGTGATGCACACACTGACGCACTTAGAAAGATAGATGCACAAAACAGCAGGTGAATGATGGGGTGAATGCTCCCTTTGTGTAAAGTTACGCTTTCATGAAGTGTTTTTTTCTATCTATATAAATCACCGTGGTACCAAATGCTGAGATGTTTTCATTGTATACTGACAATTTGCAACAGCCAATACATTTTGTAAGAAACATAAAAAAAACGTATGAAGCAGCAGGAAAGAAGGTTCCTGGAGTGGATGCACCCGGAAAAAAGGTGGAAAGTGGAAGGATTAAATATATAATATTATACTGTATATATAGTTTTTTAACTAATGCATGAAGAATTGATAATTGAAACAATCTATCGTTTCTCTCCATGGTCAGTCTCGCTTGTGG